CCTCAGCCTCCCGAAGTGCTGGGACTACAGGCGTGAGCCACCGCACCCAGCCTCAAGTGGTTTTTTTAAGGTCAGAAAAAGCAAAGTGCTCCTCAGCTGTCACCACAGTGGACACCGGAACAAAAGCTTTCACAGTCTCCTGGGAAGCCGCGTGAACTGAGAATCCGACACCCAGCCTAATGGCTGCATAAGCGCACAGCCAGCAGACATCTGTGAGTGAGTCAGAGATCAAGGGGTTTCCATTAGCCGCTCTTGAAGAAATCGCTAGACACAAATCCCAGCCAATTAAGAGCTGAGTGGAAAAGCCGTTGAAGGCAGTAGGCTGAGGACAGACACTGACTCCGCAGCGCCGAAGGACAGACCACCGGGAATGCACCTGGGGGGGCCACAGAAGGAAGCTGAAAACGCAATGGGCGGAATGAAGCCCAGGTGAGACGCAGCCTACGGGTGCTGTGAGCTGGAGAGAAAGATTTCCGAAGAAGTCACCCAACCCTGGAGGAATCTGTGACTGCTCGGGGAAAGCCTGAGAGCTCAGGTGGCCCTTTCCTAAGGAGAGGTGTGGAGACGGCATGGCGGCGTTGAAGGGACGGCCTCCTAGCCGAGAGGGGCAGGTGCAGGGTCCCTGGGGACAGCGCATGGTGTAGTCAGTGTGGCTACAGTGGGGACAGGGTGGGCCTGGCAGGAAGCAATGTGTCCCTGCACACGTCAAGCCGCCCTGACCCACTGCCACCTCCAGCAGCTGGTCCCCACCAAACCTGCCAGTTCAGCACGGGGTCAGCCATCAGTGTCCAGGGGCTCAGGCTCCCAGGCAGCATTCCAGACCCTTACTCCGAATTCGAGTGCCCCAAACACTATTGAGGGAACAATTAGAGAAGTGTGATGCCTGCAGCCTGCCATAGAAGAAGCTGAGCCACCCGCCGTGAGAGCAGCTTCGCAGGCCAGGTTCCGGGGCTTGGAGAAAGTGGGGGACATTGTACCCACACCAGAGCCAGGAGGCCAAGGCAGAGAGCCCCTTGCTCAGCCTAGAGGCCACCACAGGCGGTCACACCTGCGCCCACCCCTGGAGGCAGCCAAAGGCAGGTGGTGGCTGGGCAGAGGGCTAGGCACCGTGTCACCCACCAAACCCTGCCTTCTGCAGGGACCTGGGCACGTCTCTGGGCCACCTGCGGGTGCTATGGCTGGCTCGCTGTGGCCTCACTGACCTGGATGGCATTGCCTCTTTGCCAGCACTTAAGGTGAGTCTGGGCACCCTGGGCTGGGGAGGGCTGGGCTGGGCCCTGGCTCAGAGCCCCGCGCTGTCCAGGAACTCTACGCCTCCTACAACAACATCTCGGACCTGAGCCCACTGTGCCTGCTGGAGCAATTGGAGGTGCTGGACCTGGAGGGCAACAGCGTGGAGGACCTGGGGCAGGTACGCTACTTGCAGCTGTGCCCACGCCTGACCACGCTTACCCTGGAGGGCAACCTGGTGTGCCTACAGCCGGCCCCCGGCCCCACCAACAAGGTGCGTGTCCCGGGCACCCGACCGGCATGTGCATGGCCAGGGGAGGCTCCCTGTGGCTCCAGCCCCGGGGCCTCCGCTCTGGCCAGGGACTTCTGTGCCCACCCGCACTCTGTGGCCTGCTCACCCTGAGTTCATCTCCTCTGTCACCGGAAGTCTGACGGCTTCCAGGACATCTTCCTGGGCCAGCTCTGCCAGATCCCATAGGGTCACCTGCCCACACGCGATGTTCCTTAACCCACGCATGCACTGTGACGTCCACACATAAGCCACGTGGAAACACAAAGAATCACGTGTACACAGCTGTGCACACACACCTGTGTACGCCCTGTCCAGAGCCACCTCCAGCCCCACAGGCCTCACAGACCACCCTGTGCAGTATCTCGGAGCTGTGTATGCCCTGCTCAGAGCTGGCACACCTGTGCGTGCAGGCCCCGGGGTAGCTAACCCAGCACAGGCCACGTTTGCCCTGAGCTCATAGTGCTAGCCTCATTAGCTGCTGCTTGGTGCTGCCACATGCTGGGGTCAATATCTACCACTGCCCAGTGGCTGCTGCTCTGTGGGCCAGAGCCCTGAGCTGAGGGCAGCTCCATGGGCCAGAGGGCATCCCTGGACGCGGCCTTGGGTCTGGAGAGTGGGGTCCTGTATCCTGAGCGGGTGAGAGCCCAGTCCCTGAAGTCCCTGGGGTCTGAGAGTGACCCAAGCCCACCTCAGCAGGGTAGGGCAGCATCACCACCTCAGGGCCCCTGCCCTGCCCCATGGTGGGTCTGGGAAAGGGAGCCAGGGAAAGAGCCGGCCTGAGGAACCACTGGACCCAGACCTGTGCTCCCTCGCCCTCCCCCTGCAGGTGCCCAGGGGCTACAACTACAGGGCAGAGGTGAGGAAGCTCATTCCCCAGCTGCAGGTCCTGGACGAAGTGCCGGCTGCACACACAGGCCCACCGGCCCCCCTGAGGCTGAGCCAAGACTGGCTTTCGGTGAAGGAGGCCATCAAGAAGGGCAATGGCCTCCCCTGGCTGGGTACGACAGCTGCGCCCGGAGGACCCGCTGCTGAGCCCCAGCTCCCCCCAGGAAGAGGCCCCCACCCCAGGCCTCTCAGAGACGGACAGCCACATCTCATGTCCTTCCCCAGCCTTGACCCCTGGTCCCCAGAGCTAGGCACACCCCGGCCCAGGCCAGGACACTGTCTCTGAGCAGCCCGCAGAGGGAGAGAAGGGTCTGAAGATGAGGGCCTCTCTAGAAGGCTGCAGCGTCAGAGGCCAGCCTCAGGCCATGCAGTGTGGGAATCGGGCCCCCTGGTCTGTGGACAGAGTCTGGGGGGCGCTCCCGGGCTGACCAGCTGGCCTGAGCCTTGGTGACCTCTGCTTCTGAACCTCGGGCAGACTGTCCCCGTGGAGCCCCCATCCGGAGACTCGACCCCGAGCTGTACCTGCCTGAGACGCAGCCCCGGGCCTCCAGGCCCTGGCCCTTCTCCCTGCTGGTCCATGGGGGCCCCCTGCCTGAAGGCCTGCTTTCTGAGGACCTGGCCCCAGAAGATAACACCAGCAGCCTCACCCATGGTAACTACTTGCCCCACAGCTGACCCTGCAGCCCCTCGGCCCCGAACCAGGCCCAGCCGTGCTGTCTCTTGCAGGTGCTGGCCAAGTCCTGTGTGGGAACCCCACCAAGGGCCTGCGGGAGCGTAGGCACCAGTGCCAGGTACACCCCACAGGAACCAGCCCCCCAGGGGAACCAGTGTCCAGGGTTCTGGCCCTGACAGTGCCCCGCCCTGCCGCCATTCCAGGGCCAGAATCCCCAGAGCAGTCCCTTTTCCTCCCCAGGCCAGGGAGCCCACGGAGCAGCTGCCCCAGCACAGGCCAGGAGATCTGGCCGCCAGCACTTCCTCCCCAGAGCCTGACCCTGCAGACAGCTCTGACTTCCTGGCCTTGGCTGGGCTTAGGGCCTGGAGGGAACTTGGTGTGCGGTGGGTGTCCCCCCAGCTCTACCACTGTGTGTGTCCTGTCCCATGGGGGGATCAGGGCTGGGGTGATCTACCTTGGCTGAGTCATCACTGGTCGCAAGGCTCATGGATCATCCCTGAGCCTCACACGTACTTGGGATCAACTCCAAGAAGGGACAGGGCTGGAGCTCCTCCTCCTCTCCCCACCCTAGCCCCCTCCCCTATAGGCACCCGGAGTCCCAACAGGAAGGGGCTGTAGCCCCCTGGGGCCCACGGAGGGTCCCTGAAGAGCAAGTGCACCAGGCAGAACCCAAGACTCCCCCCAGCCCCCCGAGCCTGGCCTCAGGTACTGAGCCTGCCCGCCCGCTCCCCAGTGCCTGGGAGTGACCCAACACCCCACCTCTGCAGGGGGCCCTTCCCCAGATTGGACATGTCAGCCTGGCCCTACTTCCTCAGCCGGGCTCTGAGAGGGACTGTGACAGGGGGGCCCCCTTCTGGGGGTGGGGGGCTCATGACTGTGGGAGTCCCAACCCAAGTTCTCCCTCTCCCAAGCCATGGTCCAAGCCCTGTGACCTTGTGGGACACCCGGGCTGGACGAAAGAGGGGTTCCACAAAAGGGGATATGAACAGAGTCCAGAGGGGACTGGGCAGAAAGAAGGAGCCACCCCAGGGTACCATGGCCAGGGGCAGTTTTCCGGGGCACAGGCATGTGCCCACCAGAAGACCAAGGCAGGGAGGGTGCTGCTGCTTCACCCCAAAGATGGCACGTGTACTCGGGGACACAGAATTAAGCCATGCAGTGCCCTTTCCGAAGGACACCCGCTTCAGTGTGACCACAGCTGCAAGGCAGAGAGGACCCTCCCTCAGCGGGCAGGCAGGCTGGGCGGGGAGCACTGTGAGCAGGGGCGACCCCGCAGTGGGCAGCTGACCCTCCTCTGTGCAGGAGCCTGGTCAAGGGGGCTGGGATGGGCAGGGAACAGAGCAGGCCAAGCCTCTGCCCTTCCATATGGTGGGGGGTGTCTGTGGAGGGGCAGAGGGGTCAATAGCTGGTTACTTAGTGGCCAGGAGCTGCAGGGGTGGAGGGAGGGCAGGCAGGACAGTCAGGAGGAGGGGGAGCTGCAGTGGCCTCGAGGAAGGGTCAGGACAAAGGCATGCTAGGGCTCCAGTGGAGGCGGGTGCTGGGGGACCAGAGGCCTGGGAACTGGCCCGAGGCAGTCAGCCAGTGAGCAGACTCTCAGGGTCAGGACACAGATGACCCAGGGTCAGAGCCAGGCTTTGTGGTCTCCTTGTCAGGGACAGGACACAGATGACCCAGGGTCAGAGCCAGGCCTTGTGGTCTCCTTGTCAGGGACAGGACACAGATGACCCAGGGTCAGAGCCAGGCCTTGTGGCCTCCTTGTCTGTCCCAGAGGTGGGCCTGCCCAAGCGAGTCAGGGGTCACAGGGCTGGGAATACAGAAAGTGGGGTGCAGGGGTGCTGCCGCCTGTGGACCCCCAGCCTGGACCACTGCCTCGGGGCTGCAGGGCCATGGGTGGGCTGTGGCCTCCCCACTGGGTGACTCCCTTCCCTGACAGCCTTTCTGATGTGCTGTCACTCTGCTTGCTTTCTAGAGCCCTCCAGGACCTCGAGCCAGCACCTGGTCCCTTCCCCTCCCAAGCACCCAAGGCCACGAGATTCTGGCAGCAGCTCCCCACGGTGGTCGACAGACCTGCAGTCCAGGGGGCGTCGGCTCCGAGCCCTGGGCAGCTGGGGGCCTGGCCTGGATGATGGGGTAGCTGCAGTGCCTGTCCTGAGAGCCCTGGAGGTGGCCTCGGGCCTGAGCCCTCGAGCCCAGGGACATCCTGGCCCAAAGCCAGCACCAGATGCAGCAGCCAGACCTCCCAGGGCAGCTGAACTCTCTCACCCCAGCCCCGTCCCCACTTAGTGTAGCTCCCACTGCCAAGCTCGCCTGTGCTGGGGCCACCACCTGCCCACATATGTGGTCACGGAGCACAGACCATCTGGGCGGGTGTGTTGGGGGGTGGAAGGAGTGCCTGGCCCTGGGGAGGACCCTCTTGGTGGAGGGGAGTGGGGGACTGGAACCCGCCAGGAAGGCAGCAGAGGCTGGAACAGTTTAGGCCCACAACTGGGTTTGGCCTGGGGAGGGAGGGTCCCGCTCCCCAGCCCTTCCTTAGGGCCAGGCTTCCCCTCGGGCACGGAGGTGGGGGGACTGGTCACCGGCAGGCCTGTCAGAGGCCTCTCCTGCTAGAGTTGGGCGTGGCCGAGGGGCAGGGGCTGGAGTTGC